CCCTGCGGAGCGCGACAGGAAACCAGAGCCGCCTGTGGCTCATTTACAGACACTTTAGATCCTCCACCCACCTGAGGATAGATGCTCTCCATTCACCTGTCGGAAATGGTGATTCTGAACACCTTGGGGCATGATAATAGGAACGAACGCTGGCCCTGGGGGAGCAAACGCACCCGCTCGTCCCCCTGGGAAGTTCGTCTACCGAGGCTGACGTGAGGTGGCACCCCCGTCTCGCTCCCCCGCTTCTGAAATGGACACTGGGAGTTCAGAGGGGCAAGTGTGGGGAGGAAGAAGCTCCAGGGCCCGGTGGGAGGCGGAGCAGCGTCTGCAGTGCGCGGGGCAGGAGCCCCGAGGATGAGGACCGCGCTGGGGAGTCGGGGAGTCGGGGGCTGGGGCAGTGGAGGCTGATGGGGGGAGTGTGCCCAGGAGCAGGTAGGGGCTGGGCAGGTTCCTGCTGCCACCCCTCGTCCCAGCGGCGTGGCGGTGGGCTGCAGAGGGCAGGAGAGGGCCCTCTGTGGCCTGAGCGTTTCGGTGGTGAGTGACGTGCACGCAGAGGCGAGGCTGCCCCACGGTGGTGCCACCACGGGCCGGCTGGGGCCTGGGGGTGCAGGGGAGCCAGGCGCCCCGGCTCTGCCCTCCTGCAGCTTCCATGTAGTCGGGTGACAACCGACAACAGACAAGCAAAGCGGCACGTGATCCAGAGTTCCCGATGGTGACAAGAACACGGAGAGAAATAAAAGAGGGTGCGCGATGAGCCGTGGGGTCGGGGCTCGTCAGGTCGGGAAGTCACACACCTCGACGAGGGCTGGCGGGCGGGGAGGGAGGCCTGGGCTGAGGGAACGGCCCCTGCAGAGTCAGGAAGACTGGGGTGCGGCACGGCCAGAGATGCCGGGGGAGACGGGGTGTGGGGGCAGGCTGCACATCTGGGGGGCGGGGCTCAGGCAGCCGGCCGGATGCTGATGAGGGTGAAGGACGGAGGCCCAGCAGCGACGCCCGGGTTTCTGGCTGGCGGATCTGGGTGGCTGCCGGTGCATGTATGGGGGTGGGCGGCTCGGCGTGGCTCTGGGCGGGGGGAGACGTCAAACACTGAGCCATGGGCGACTTAGGTCCAGCGCCC